TAAGTCTTTTTAGTCATTCCTGGAAAGGACAGAATGAAAACATATATATATAAAGAGATCTTCAACTACTTCATCCTTCAACATTAGCATTCCCTATGTGAACAATTACATTTCCACTTTATGTTGTGAAAGGACATGGTTAAAGATGAGTTAAAAACATAGCCCTTGTGTATGTATTTTAGTAAATGCTAATTGAACTTCAATAAAATTGAAAAAAAATGAAGTACTAGATAAACGAAATGAAAAAAGGCAAAATACAAGCCCATTTAAATATCATTCTTAGATTCAATAGACAAAATCACTCTCACAAATTGCTGTAAAAATTTTTAAATACTTGTTCTAACAAAACAAGAACAAAAATCACTTTTCTAAAGCCTGTCTTTTAAAAAAAAATCAAAAAATTCTTTTTTCTCTATTAACAGAATGTTTTCCTACTGGTCCAGAAAAAAAAATTCTCTCTTGAGTTCCTCTCTCCTTTTTTTTTTTAACTGGATTACCAGTTTATTATAAAAGATTATGACTTATGAACAGCCAGATCAAGGTATTGTCAATGTAGGAAACATTCAAACCTGTAGAGAATTTTTATAAGTGTTTATCTGAGCCAAACTGATGACATATGCCAGGCAGCAAATTTTCAAATGCTCCGAGCACCTTTCTCCTTGATCCTGCTCAGGTTCAGTGTTTTTCACCCAGGGCACTATAGACATTCTTAAAGTTTGGGTGCTCAAGTCCCCTTCTTCTGGGGAGCTCTGAAACAGCACACTCCTGAGCAGCCTCCTCTAAAATACTCTGGTACCCCAATTCTAAAATGCTTATTTTTGGTGGAAAATCTCTAGTAAAATATAGAAAATTATAAAGAAGGAAAATAAAAATAACCTGTATATATGTATCCTGTTCAGTCATTTAACACTATTCTGAGCATATACCCATGTCATTAAAGTGTCTTTGCAAGTACTTTTAATGGTTGCCTAATATTCCATTAACTTTTATTTAACCATTCCCCTTTTGTTACACACTTAGGTTAACACTCCCCTTTAAATCTCCATTCAAAGAGCAAACTAGCTCCAATAATTGGCANACAGCTCAACCTGGAGCTGGGCTGCCATGAGTTGACGGCATAGGCTGCATCCCCTGTGGCAGTGGGTTGCCATGGGCTACCGTGTGTAGCCAGCAGCCAACGTGAGCGGCCAGCAGCCGCCGTGAGCGGCCGTCCAGAAGCCAGCGACTGATCTGCCTCGCTTGGGAAGAGTGCAATGATGGTGCCAACTTGGGCCAGTGAAGCAATGTCCTCCACAACTAGACCAAAGAACAAAACGACAGCAACTATATTCATATATTCATATGTATATATGAACACAAAACTGTTAAGATCAACTTGGTTGAACTGAAACAGGAGGGGGGACCTTTCATTTTTCATTTATATTTTTCCTTCTATATTATATTTCTCTACACTTGGATTTTCTTCAGGTACATATAACTTTTGTAATTAAAAAATACTTTTAACAAAAATTGTCCAAGATCATAGAACTAGTGAATGGTAGAGAGAAGGGTGAAATCTGGCTCTGACTGACCCCAGGGCTCAGATTCTCTCCACACACACAGTGTGCTCATCTAGCTACGTACATACCACAACCACCATGAAAATGTCTAGCTGTGCTCTTTATCTCCTAGATAGCCTAAAAGGCAAATGATAATAACATGTTGAAATGAAATGGTTTATATCCAGTGGAACAAACAAGAAAAGCAACAGAAAGTAAGGTAAAGAACAGGTTCAGATGCTGTGCACAAAGACCAGAGATGACTGGTCACAGTGACACATGCTGCTGTTTCATGATATTGACCAATTGCTTCAATCAGGCATCGGTTAGGTCAGCTAGAGGCTGTCCTAAGTGTGAAAGGTCTTTTTGATCAGAGTGTGGAAACACAGAACCAAGATTTTAAGTTCTGCCACTAGATAACTAACTCTCTGCTTGTAGTGATGAAAAACATCAGTACTGACAAGAAGCTCCAATTTTTTCCTTGGTCTTTAAATCATGATGCTACTCAGCCTTTATACATTACCTCATCTAATGCTCACAGTAACCCCTTGAGATAAGTAGATTAAGTATTATTTCCTGCATTTAAGAAACAAATCCAAATTCATCAAGTTGTATGTATTAAAAAAGGAAAAGGAAGAAAGTATACCATTTATAAAATGGGGAAAAGTGCAATAGACCCTTGTTTGCCTCACAGAGATGTGCTTAAGAAAGTGACTGTTCTCCAGCCATTATCTGTACATTATCTGTCACCTGCTCATGCTGCCAAGGAGCTGGGGACCGATGAGGGGCAACTGATCTCCCTGCTGAGCCTTATAAAATAATCATGAGCTACTTCCTTTCTTGCCAGTTCATGTGATACATTCAGGTCCCTTTCCCTACGAGG